AGAGAGAGAGAGAGAGAGAGAGAGAGAGAGAGAGAGAGAGAGATCCAATTTGGACATAATTTGCTTTGAAGTGTTTAAAACAGGATGGAAAAAGAGCAGTTCCTCATCTTTTAGGCACTTCCACATACGCCTGGTGTTGAGGCCAAAGCCTGCCTCTTCTGTCACTGCCCCTCTAAGCTTGTGCATAAGTTTATCCCATTAAATTCCAACCATTTTTCGGAAGTTCAGGAAAGAAGCAGGTAATTCATTCACCCTCCCAGAGATCAACTCTTTTATCCGCATTCACACCCTCCCAGGGTAATTAAAATGCTTAGGAGCGGTAAAAGGGAGTGGTTTGAGCTGCAAGATAAGCCAGAAGATTAAAAAACCCAAATGAAATTCCTGAGGGGTGAGAGGGGCCCAAGGGGCTGACAACCAGGGCGGTCTGGGGGAAACCTAGGGAGGGAGGAAGGGCAAAAGCCCAGGGATCCAAACATTAAAGAGCTCTTTCCAAATGGAAGAGAAGGGAAAGGCGGGGTGGACCAAATGGCCAACTGAATTAATGCCAATGAGCATAGGAAAAAGATGCCCATTCCACCTCCTGCATCCTGATTACTGAGAGTGGGGCGGCTTACCAGAGTCGCTGCTGGTGGTGGGCGGTGTCTCTTCGTGGAGCACAAGGGGCTCGGGGCTGGCCCGTGGGGAGGACTCGGAGGAGAGCAGAGAGTCAGAGGACGAGGAGAAGGCTGTGGAGTCGGGCGAGGCGCAGGACTTGGGCGAGCTGCTGTCGTTCAGCGGGTAGGGGAAGACCACCGAGGGGTCGATGCACTCGGACGCCGCGGCGCTCAGGTCCTGCAGGTACAGGCTGGAGGTGGAGCAGCCGCTGTGCCCGCGGGCGGGGCTCGGGCTGGCGCTGTCTTTGCGCGCAGCCTGGTAGGAGGCCAGCTTCTCTGAGACCAGCTTGGCGGCGGCCGAGAAGCCGCTCCACATACAGTCTTGGATAATGATGTTCTTGATGAAGGTCTCGTCATCCGGGTCGCAGATAAAGCTCTGGTTCACCATGTCTCCTCCAAGCAGTTCTGTCACCATCTCCAGCTGGTCAGCAGTGGAGAAGTTGCCGCCGCCACCGTCGTCGTCCCCCCTCGGGGAGAAGGACGCGGCGACAGCCACATAGGAAGGAGAACAGAGCCCGGAGCGGCGGCTCGGGGACAGGGGCGGGGTGGGCAGCAGCTCGAATTTCTTCCAGATATCCTCGCTGGGCGCGGGCGGCTGCAGCTCGCTCTGCTGCTGCTGGTGGTAGAAGTTTTCCTCCTCGTCGCAGATGAAATACGGCTGCACAGAGTCGTAGTCCAGGTCATAATTCCTGTTGGCGAAGCTCACGTTGAGGGGCATGGTCGCGGCTGTCTGCTGGAGGGGACACACCAAGGGGAGCAAGTCTTGAGTTAGGGGGCTCTGGGTACTGCGGAAACCTGGCGCAGCGCGCACCCCAGTCCCGAACCACTCCCCTTGCAGCGCGCTGTCCTTCACCCTGTGTGTGTGGGGTGGGGGCGCTTTCAGTCCTTACTATCCTGACCCACTATCCCGGCCCGCGCTGGACCAGCGGAGTCCCCGCCTCATCGGAGCCACCCAGGAATCGCCATCGGCCTTGGCCTCCTTTCGAAGCCCGGGGAGGCGGCCGTAGGGAATACAGCCTGCCAAAAGCCCAGGCGCAAAGTTTTGCGCCACCTGAAGGAGAAAGGCTGGCGGCGCGACTGCGCGAGGCTCCCTCCCGCTCCGTGCTCTGCGCCGCCGCCCCGTCCGGGTCCCCATTCGCGCCGTCGCCGCGCTCCGACCCCGCCGGCGCCGCCGCCCCCCTTCGCTTCCAGCATCCCCACCCCCAGCGCGCCCCCTTCTTTCCTCCGCCAGCTTTTCTTGGCGATCCCTGGCTTGGAGGGGAGAACTCAGCCTCAGCTCTAACACTCCTCGCCAAATTAAAGGGGAAGGGGTGTCAATAAGGGGGACCCCTCCCTTCTCCGCTGTTCACCGCGACGCCACTACGCCAGAGACCCGGCAGCCACTCGCCACCCCGAGCGGGGCGTCTTCTATCTCCCGACCGAAGGTAGCAGCTGTTACGGAACAACCCAGAGCCGGACTCCCCGCAGTCTCCCCAGCAAATCAGAGGCTCGGGGACTCCCGCGGACCACGGTGGGGGAGTCAGGGTTGAGAGCTCTGGTTTCCCCCAAGTCAGCGAATCGGTCGCATCCCCGTCCTAGTTTTGCTTTCCGTCACTGCGCTTACCCAACACCAAGTCCTACAACCTTGGGGATCAGATTTTAATTTTACGATTATTACTATTTTTAAAGTCAAATGGCAACTTCTTAAAAGGATCAAGGGAGAGGTGGAATCTCCGCCGGAGGTTGGCAGGCAGGACGCACCTCAGGGTCTGTCTCCGGCTGTCAGAAATGCAGTAAGCCGAAATTTAAGAGATTTAAATGCCCTCCCGGAGACTGGGAAAAGTCAGAGGCTGAGGAGCGTTCTCGCTCCCAAACGCCGACGGTAATCCCCTGTCCAAAGACCTCAGGATACGAAAGGCTTTCTGGCCACCGGGAAGCAGACCTCCCAGTCCGACCCCCCAAAGGACACAAACAGCAATTAATGCTATAAAGCAGGAATGTCCAATTGGCTGGGGGGTCAGCGTCATCCCACATAGTAAAAAACAAAAACAAAAAAAGCAAAAATCGTCTAGAGCCCCATTTTCAAAATGTACCCGCGTTCCCCGTCATCTTGACAAGTCACTATACCCCGACCAAGATCTGCCCCAGCTCCATCCACCAGAGCCTACCCCAGTACCCTGAGAAAAGTGTCAAAAGTACCAGAATGGGAGAAAAACTACCCTGACTGGGGCGTTGAGTCGCAGCATTCAAGACGCAGAGAAAATGCATTTAAAGGTAAAAGGATCCTTGCTTACCGGGTTTTCCACCGGCCAAAGGAAATCCAGCTTTCAAAGCGCGCGAGAAGCGCCTTTCAAGGGTGCAGGTCCTGGGCAGAAGCGAAGACTGCCCCCCAAATAGACAAAAATTCCCTCCCCGCGCCTGGGGAGTCGAGTCCTCGCTCGCAGATTGTAAGTTCCAGTGCAAAAGTGTCCGCCCGCTGCAATGGGTAAAGTTTCTGGGCTGCGGCGAGGGCGGCGATGGCCGGCGGGGGTCAGCGGTAGGGCTGGGTGGGGGCTGCGGCCAGCCGGCGAAGCCCCTGGTACTGCGGAGCTGCCTTCCCAGGACGCCCGGAGCGCGGCTCCGCACACTCCGCTTCGCCACCCGCCCGCTCGCTCCCTCTTCCTCTCGCTGGAATTACTACAGCGAGTCAGAAAAACGCCCCGAAAAGCTTCTTTTATACTGCTACTTAACCCTCCCTCCTCCCCTAGCTTCTTTTTCCCGCCAAGCCTCGGCGAAGCCCTGCCCTTCCGCAGGCAGGAGGGGAGCCCAGCCCCGCGCAGCGGCGGCAGCCGCGGAGACCAGCGCAGCTCGGGGGTCCTCGGCTGCGCAGACCCTCGGATTATAAAGGGCTGGTGGGCGGGGATTCGAGAGAGAATCTCTCTTTTCTTCCTCCCCCGCCCTCTGCTTTGGGAACCCGGGAGGGGCGCTGGTGCAGAGCCGGGGAAATGGGAGGAGACACAGCCCGGCCGCCCGGCACTCCGGCTCTGCGTTGTAAACAGTCGGAACGCAGCGTGAATTAGCTGCGCGCCCTACCATTTTCTTTTGCTGGCTCCCACGTCCTTTCCCTTTCTACGCTGCTCCTCCGGCGCCGCGCTCCGATGGACTGCGTGCTTGTCCTTAGTGCCCTATGCCCCCATACACCGCGTCCCTTGGGCTGCGCCACACACATCCCCCGCGGCCAGGCGTCTCTCTAAGGCTGGGGAAACCGCAGCCTTTAGAAAAAGAAGGAAAGAATGGGGAGGTCTATGAGCGCGCGCTGTGTGCCGAGTGTTAATGCTGGTAGGGATCCATGACGGACGCAGTCTACAGAGGAAAATGATGCCCGGAATTATTAAAATAACTCAGCAGCGCACTGCCACGTACACTTCGAGAACGTGAGATGAATAAACAGCCACTGCATTTCTTTGAGGGGGGGGATGTGTGATGCATTATGCGTTTTGCCTGTACAACTGTCCTGATTGGGTACATTCTATCCAGAATGGATCCCAAAATTTGCTGCCAAGATTAGCCCCCCCAGCCCCCCCAGCTCCGCCCTCTGGGACTTCCACCAGGCCGGGTGTGGGAGGCGGCTATCCTCGTCCCGCGCATTCCGGAGCCCCAAAGCCGGAGAAGAGCCGCGGTGGGTGAGCTCCACTGGGGGCCTCAGGGTCCGGTCTCCGCCAGTCTGCACCCCATCTCATCCCCTCGTCTCTCTCTCGGAGTTCCTATTCCTCAGCCAGCTTTCAGGAAAGGCAAATCCTCCTTGCCCCCGTGGCGCCGGTTCGCACCAGTCCCGGGGGGGTGGGTGGGTGTGGGGGGACTCAAAGGCGCTAGACCAGAGAATACCGGGGGGACCCGGACTTCCCAGAAAGGGGGAGGAGTAGAGCTTGCCATCCGGGTCTGGGGAGCCTGCAGAGACCCTGGTGAAGAAAACCGTTAACTCTTTCCTCTCTGGACAAACCCGACATTGAATTCCTCTTGGTTGTTTCCCCTCTATTACTGGAATTGTAATCATGCACTTAACACACACACACACACACACACACACACACACACACACACACAAACTGCACCGATCCGACCAAAGTAGAGAAAAATTATGGGTGTGCCTTTTTATTTTGGGGGGTGGTGGTGGTGGTGGCTTGAGCTAATTAAAAATTGGCTTTAATTCAGACATTAATTTCCTAGTTTACGGATTTTTCCTGAATAATATGTACATCATACATAGTCTACAAACGTATACACATTTCATGTATACGATGACCCAGTTTATTGACCAACTTGAAACATACTCTTTCGCTATCTGATCTAGACATATATAATTATATATGTGTTATATAACTATATATATAACGCATATTCCCTCAGCGTTTGTTTATTCCACGACACTAAAAACAAAAGTGATCTTTTTATTCGTGATACTTCACCTCAAGGCATTTGAAGAAAACTTTTCCCTCTGCTACCCCCTAAAAAAAGAAGAAAAAGGGCTGGAGGGAAAAGTGTATAGGGCACACATTGTTGAGATAAGTTATAACGCATTGCGTTTGGAGCTCTGCGGCTTCGGCTGTAGCTCTGTTCTCCAAATCAAGCTCACTACGCAATTCAGCTTTAAGGATTGCAAGTGACTCCAGCCTCTAGGATTTTGCCCTAAATGCCAAGAGCCACCAATCCCTAGGCTGGGTTTTGCTGTGCAGTATTTCTCCCCGCCCCCTCCCCTTTGCACCGCGTTCGGATTTGCGAAAGTAAAGTGTGCCCTCTACTGGCCGCAGCGATCGCCGCGTCCGGATGCCAACCAGGGCGGAGGTCGGGTGGGGGCTGGGCGCCCGCGGCGCAGGGTTTCCAGGCTGGAGAACCGCTCTCCTGTCCTGTTACCAGTTTCCACCCACCTTTTTATGACTCTTTGCCTACTGCAAAGGCGCCAAAGGAAAAAGTGGCTCAGAGGCTGCGATTCAGTCCCCAAAGCGGTGATGAGAACTAACCTAGCACTACTTACTGACAGTGAAAATCACCCAAGGGAAAGTTGATGTTGATGGGAAACCTGAATAATTCCCAGGCACGCACGTGAAAAAAAAATTCTCACAAAAAACAGAAGGCAGCAAGTTAGCCCCCGTGTCTCAGAAATCTGTCATGTTCTAAACAGCATGTGTCAAAGTAGGACAGAATTTTATTGGGCAAGGAGAGGCAGAGCTGAAGGGGAGGGGTATTTGTTTCTATTATCCTCATTATTTACTTATTACATTTTTTTGGACATAAGATCTTATGTATCCCAGGATGGCCTTGAACTTTTAGCTGAGGATGACCTTGAACTTCAGATGGCCCTGTCTCCTCCTCCACAATCCTGGGATTACAGGCTTGTACTACCAAACCTGGTTTATGCCCCGCCTGGGGTGGAATCCAGGGCCAGTGCATGCTGGGTAAACCCTCTATCAATTGAACCCTGCTTTTATGTTCTCACTCACCCTGAGGCCCATTGTGTGCATGTGTGTGTTTTGTGATTTGTTTGTTTTTTGAGACAAGGTCTCGCTATTTGCACTGCTGGCCTGGAACTTGCTATGCAGACCAGGCTAAGCATTTAACATTTTTAATTAAAGAAATGGGGTTGGTGAAACAATAGTCGGGTGTTTTGGTCCTGCAGAGGAAGGCTGAATCTCCACTGCCCCCCCCAAATCTTACAGGACCGTTTTGTAAATAGGTTGAGATTTTTGAACCAAAAGGATTGCATAAAGGTGGACTTTAAAGAAAATGTATACAGTATGGACTAAGGCTGTGACTGTTTCAGGTAGGTTTTTATTGTACAAAAGATTCCTGATGATGTCTGATCAACTGGTTAGGCTCTCATTGTAGCAGTGTGGGCTCATTTCTGGAAGGGTTCTCCAGCACTCAGGAGGCAGAGGCAGGCTGATCTTTGTGAGTTCGGGGCCAGCCTGGTCTCCATAGCGAATCCAGGCCAGCTGGGGCTACAAGGATACAAGGAGACCCTGTCTAAAAAAGACCAAAAAAAAAAAAAAAAGACCCTGTAAAAAAAAAAAAAAAAAAAAAAAAAAAAAAAAAAAGATTACTCTGGTAGAAGCTACCTCCTCCTAAAATACAGGACAGTAGTAAATACTACAGTAAGTGCAGCTGACCATCAGAAAGCTTTTAAAAATCGCTGAGTATCCTAAGCCAAGCATGATGGTGCACACTTTTAATCCCAGCACTCAGGAGGCAGAGGCAGGTGGATGTCTGGAGATGGAGGCCAACCTGGTCTACATAGCAAGTTCCAGACCAGTTAAGGCTACAGGAGACCCTATCTCCAAAAACAAAGAGGCTGGAGACTGTAGAGACGGCTCAACAGTCAAGAGCACTTGCTTCTTTTGCTGAGGACTGAGGTTCGGTTCCTAGGACCCACATAGTGACTCACAGCCACCTGTAACTCCAGTTCTGGGGGATACAACGCACTCTTCTGTCCTCTGTGGACACTGCACACATATGGTACACAGACACAAAGACAAAACACTTGTAAAATAAAAACAAATCTTTAAAAAATTAAAAAAAGAAAATGACTAAATATCATGTATTTTAAGGTCATGCTCCCAATTATGTCAGTGTAGGCGTGTGAACCCAGGTAGGGGAATGGCCTGTGGCCTAGGGACTTACCCTAGCTGTACTTAGGCTGGTGACATCACCTGTGGTGCTACTTTCAAGTAACAGGAGGGTAGGGGCGCCACCCCCCCCATTTTACATACTGAGGAAACTAAGTGCTATCATATTCATTTCGTGTAAAAATGAAAGAGAATTGTAAAATAGAAGAAGAAAGGGACGAGACAATCACAAGGTTCTAGTCTTGCCAGTGCATAAGTTTCTAATCTTGCTAATGCAGTGTATTTGTTCGAGTTCTGTATTATTGAGGATGTAGTCCAGGCTGACCCCTAACTCAAAGATTCTTCTGCCTCAGACTCCCCAGTGTTGGGATTAAACTTTCCATGTATCATTATACCTTGCCTGAAGTTAATTTTTGTAAGGACTTTTGTGTGTGTGTGTGTGTGTGTGTGTGTGTGTGTATGTGTGTGTGTATGTGTATGTGTTACCAGGAATCAAATCTAAGGCCTTTCTACTGCCGGGCTAGTGCTCTGTCACAGAGCTACAGCCTCAGCCCATGTTATGTGGGATAGGGCTTCACTATGCAGCTCAGGCTGACCTTGAATCCTCCTGCCTCAGCCTCCTGAGTGCTGGGATGACAGGCATGCATCACTATACATGGCCTTAGGGAGACTTTAAGGAAAATGGTTGTTCTTTCTGTTATAAAGTTTCCTTCTGGAAGTCAGTGGTTTGTCACTCTGGAACATTGTGACTACAAGGTTCTCTTTCTTTTAGTGGGTCTTACTGGGGGTGGATTGGGCTTATAACAAGAGGCAAGACTGTGTTATTCTCCACAGAGGTGAGACTCCAGTGAGCAGTCCCATTGGTTTGCCCAAGGCAGAGAATACATTCCTTCTTACAGCATGATGCAGCTAAGACTCACTAGTACCACCTCATAACCAAAATCGTGCTGCTTTTACACTTGGAGAAAAGAAGGTAGCACACAGAGAACAAGCAGTTCTTAGGAAGGGGAGGAGTGTATGCTGGGATTGAAACGGGGCCATAAACATGCTAAGCAGACACTCTACCTCTGAGCTATCCACCCCAGCCAGCTTGGACA